AGAGGTGACAACGCTCACCGCCTCCTGCGTCTCAAAAGTAATAAGACCTCCTCGGAAATAAGGCCGTGCTTATTTTGGGGGTCAAAAGAAAATACGGCCCTGTCTTATTTTCGGGAAAACACGGTACTACCTTTTGAAACTTTTGCAAGCCACTCCACCAACTCCAAGAAGAGAGATAATGATCACAGTGAGCAGAATCTTGACATAATGAAAGGCTGTTTTGACATGAGTGTCTCTTCTTCTAGCAACTTCAGTTAACAGCCTAACTGAATCTTTACCAGTTCAATGCACTGACGGCAGCATTCAGGACGTTCCTTCAACTCTAGATTCTACACCTGTACCAGCTACACAGCTAAGGTAATATGACTGGGGTGCCGCTAGAAATTTGTTGAATGTTTTTTGTTGGAGGTACGATCTGCAAAGTATGTGGTCCGGGATGATCTTCCTAATGGTTCACTGACAAATGCGCGCTTGACAAAAGCGTGCCGCCAAAACCGCGGGGAGAAAACCACGAGTTTGAAATCTCGCCAACGAATGAGCGCAGAAGCGCACCCAAAAAGGCGCGCCGACAGAAGCGCGCTCTAAACCTAACCCTAACCCTTACCCTAACCCTTACCTTAACCGTAATCGCGCTTCTGTCGGCGCGCCTTTTTGGGTGCGCTGTCGATGTCGTGGTTTTATCGTCACGGTTTTGTCAGCGCTCTGTTGTCAGGCGTGCATTTGTCAGGTCACGCTTCCTAATTGTTCCTGATAGACTCCTGCTTGTCTATATAATTTTAGGGTGTCTGCTGTCCAGACTCACTTGTTGAGATGGATAGCTATAGAAATCAGATAGCAATAGCAATAACACTTAGACTTATATACCACTTCATAGTGCTTTACCTAGCAATGACACTTAGACTTATATACCACTTTACAGTGTTTTACTGCCCTCTCTGAGCAGTTTTACAGAATCAGCCTTTTGCTCCCAACAATTTGGGTCTTCATTTTACTGATTTCAGAAGGATGGAAGGCTGAATCAACCTTGAGCTGGTCAGGATCGAACTGTTGGCAGTAGGCAGAGTTAACTTACAATAGCAATAGCACTTAGCCTTATATACCACTTCATAGTGCTTTACATAGCAATAACACGTAGACATATACTGCTTTACAATCTTCTCTAAGTAGTTTACAGATTCAGCCTATTTGCCCCCAACAATCCGGGTCCTCATTTTACCCACCTCGGAAGGACGGAAGGCTGAGTCAACCTGGAGCCTGATAAGATTTGATCTGCCAAATTGCAGGCAGCGGGCAGGCAGCAGAAGTAGCCTGCAGTACTGCACTCTAAGCACTGCGCCGCCGTGGCTCATCATGTAAATATTATTAACATAGGAGTATTATTAAACCAGGAGTGAGGTGGTTCTTACTCTACCTGCCCATAATGTTTAATAAAGACTAAGCAATTGGGCAGTGTAATGCTTTGAACTTTAGTCGGGATGATTTCCTTTGCAAAGTCAGTTTGGGGGAGGAATTAAGAGGCTGGATAGAAACTGGGAGACACTGATTTCTAGGCCTCCCTTAGGCATGAAAGCCAGCTGGGTAACTTCACACCAGCCAACCAAACCCAACTCACAGGGAGGATATAGGGAAATGAGGAAGCAAGGGCAAGTATTATGTGCACCTCCTTGAGCAGTAGAAAATAAAAGGCGGGATATAAATCTAGGGGTTAAAAAAAATACGCACAACCTCTCTCTCGGGAAGCAGCCAGATCTGTTCCTTCTTTAATACATAAATATAGCAAATTGTACAAACCATCCAACATTTGGACATTTTCGCCCAAGCATTTTGTTGATCCCGGGAAGGATCAGGCGAAGCTGTGCACCTAAAAATTTTTATGGTTGATATCTTAGCTTTTCTTTGTAACCTTTCAATAGGTACTGTAGCAATAACAACAACACTTAGGCTTATATACCACTCTGTGGAGCTCTTACAGCCCCCTCTAAGTGGTTTCAGAGTCAGCCTCTTGCCCCCAACAGTCTGGGTCCTCGAAAGGATGGAAAGTTGATTCAACCTTGAGCTTGTCAGGATCGAACTCCTGGCTGTGGGCAGAGTTTGCCTGCAATACTGCATTCTAACCAATACGCCAAGTGGGGCATATTTAATTTGTCTTGCATTGCTTAGCGTTTATGGTGTTCTCTTCCTTCTGCCCCATTCTGAGGATCTTGCCATTCTTCTCTCTAACGCAGTGTTTCTCAACCTTGGCAACTTTAAGTCCTGTGGACTTCAACTCCCAGAATTCCCCCGCCAGCCGGGCTGGGTGGGGGGGTTTGGGGGGTGGAGGTCACAGGGCTTTAAGTTGCCCAGGGTGAGGAAAAACGCGGTAGGGG